GGGATTGTCGCCACCAAGGATTGCAGAGTTTTCGTACCCAACTCCTTCAAAGGATCAAGAACAACTTCATCGGTAAGTATGCCAATTTTTTTGTGATATTAAACGACGACTTATCAACTTGGTTCTTATCACGCAATGCTTTTATTTTATGTAGGTTTGACAGTGGAGTCTGGGTATGCATGTGGATGTTTGGCGCAAGCTGGGACTCCTCTTATATTTGGATAAAGACAATTCTAATTCGCATATTAGAAAACCACAATTGATTGTTATTTTTGAATCATGCGGTAAGCACCATGTTTGTTGATGTTGATAGCCATGCACTCAAGTGAGGAGGATGCAGATCGCTTTGTACCTTGTTCGAGAGCCCATGAACTACATAAGGCATATGGTGCTCACGGAAGCAAGAAGAGTTGCACCTCAAGTTGAAGCTGCAGTGGAAGAGTACAAGAAAACCCATGAAAAGAGGAAAAAGGAAAGAGAAGAGCACAAGGAAACCCAGTCAACGAGCCCAAGAACAACCTGATTTTGCGTTTTAGTTTTCAAGATGATGGACAACAGTTATGTTTTTTTTTTTCTCAGGATGATGGACAACCGTTTTTTATTTGGTTCGGTGAATGCTTATTATTTTTGGTTTTTATATTTGGTTTTTGGTTTGGTGAATGCTTATTATATTTGGTTTTTGGTTTGGTTTGGTGAATGGTTTTTATATTTGGTTTTTGGTTTGGTGAATGCTTTGTATATTTGGTTTTTGGTATTGTGAATGCTTGCTATATTTGGTTTTTGGTATTGTGAATGCTTTCTATATTTGGTTTGGTTTGGTTTGTTTTTTCGTGGAAATGGCAAAGGGACTTCACCAAAATTCCAGCTTTCAACTTGTGAGTGAGGTTGCTTCTGTTCAAGGCTTCAAGCCATTGTATCTTGTAGAGAGGTTTAATTGGGATCATGTATAGTTAAACTGATTGGCTCCCAATCGTATAATTAAATTTGCATTCATGTATAGGTAACCCAAAAGGTAAAACTGATTGGCTCCCAATCGTATAATTAAATTTGCATTCATGTATAGGTAACCCAAAAGGTAAAACTGATTGGCTCCCAATCAGTATAAATAATGACCAAACCCAGTACAAGGCAGATAGAAAATTCTTATGTAATTAATTTAATGTTCCTAGGATATGGAAAGGCTTCCATGTAAAGGATTGAAAGTAGTGATTTACATTGATCAGGAGAGTGGCTTAAGTACCAACTCTTGAACAGATTGAAGCTACAAAGTAGGAGCCACTAACCCACTAACTAAAACTAATGACGTTACTAACTAATAATAATAACATTAATTATTTACAGAAATTGAATTTATGCATAGCCCTTATCATTCCATTCCTTGAATTTCCACCAACGATGTTTTCACTCCCCTTTTAGTCAGAGAATTCATTGTAGTAATAAATACAATAAAAAGGCATACATAATTAATGGATTCTTTATTGTGTATAATTAAAAGGATATTTTACTATAAACGAAGCATGATAGATCCACAGGGGGGATAAAAGAAGCATGAGTCTTGATGAAAAAGGGGAAAAAATCACCATAGATAAAAAATCATTATAATCAACCTAATTGGAACTGCTTAGAACAAAAGCGGATTAAAATCTCCCCCAATGAAATTCATTTGCAATTTCATAGGTAGTCCCTACTTCCACTTCTATAATTTTGAGAAAACATTGCAATTTCATCAATAGTCCCCACTCGTGGGCCAATTTCAATTGCAACCAAATTTGCACCCTTGCAATAGCTTCTCACATCATAGCAAGTGTAGGATGCAATTGCACCTCCTTGCTTAGGGATGACCATTACTGCATCTCGTCACCTGTCTTAGGGAAATTAGCCATGACAAATTCACAAAATATTGCATGCATAGAAAAATATTTGTCTGGATAATTAAAAAAATGGGAGACTTTCCTAGTCAGATGATGTAGTAGCTCCCCTCAGTACCTGACAGTTTTGAGTGCTGGAGAAAAAGACTGAAAAAAAACAACGAAGCCTTACAGTAAACTTCTTAACAAAACACATCCAATGCTGGCCCCTTCACTGCTCCACCCCGCCCTGCACTGCTCCACCCCGCCCTGCACTGCTCCACCCCGCCCTGCATCAATCGACTCTCATGTAAGCCGAGGACGTTTGCTTGAGGATGCCTCAGGGGTCTCTTCATGCTCCGTATGCCGAAGGTCATAAAAAGTATTGGTCACTTCGACGATACGGTAGACTGGCAAATAGGCGGAATGGTCCTCCCTAGCATAAACCCCCATATCCATCCCAACCCTTCCAAGAAAGGTGGTCAAGAAGGTGGCATATGGAAAGGCAGTGTACCAGTTTTCCCCTCTAGGAGCAGCCTCAACCATGTTCAGGCACATGAGAGATGCGAGGTTAAGAGGAACACCTCTTTGAGCTTGCACAAGGATAAACAGGTCAAGTTTACGAATTATCGAATGACCACTGTACCTTGGCATGAAGCAGTTGACGATCATCCAATGGAGGAATCGAAGAGGATCTGGGAGGAAAGAAGCCTGGATGCGCCCATTCGTCAGTTTCCCCAGTTCAACTTCAAACTCAAAATCGTACAGCTGTCGAAGATCGCTTCTACTATCAATGTGGTGTCCTGCGGCGGGGAGATCGAGGATCTCAGCAAACTGATGAGGCTGGAAGCAGACTCTATAACCCAGGAAGATCGACACGAGATGAGAATCGAAGGGACCAGACAGCTCTAAATTGTGGTAGAACTTCCTCACCACATGCGGGCAGTAACTGGTGCTTCCTCGACTCCGGAGATCGAAGAACTTTTCCCAGCCAAGATTTTTAATTAACTTCTTCACATCTTGAGGGAAAGGACTCAGGTGGATGAACTCGTACTCGGCCACAATAGATGTCTTGCTCGTGAATGAAAGATAGTCCGCGAGACTTGTGGTGGATCGGCAGTCGTCGTTTGATAGAGTTAGTATGCCCATGTTTGCCATGGAGTCAGAGGAAGAAGGAACAAGGGAAGGTGAAGATGGAGGAAAGAGAGATTGTATTTGTAGCTGTAAGAAAAAGTGATCGTGGGGGTTGAGTGTGGAGACGTGTGATGGAGACGGTTGAGTCTGGAATGTCAAGAGTTAGAAGATTTGGGAAGATATGTAGTAATGATGATGTTAACTCGTGTAGTTTAAACTAGGGTAACTAAAGCTTGTTAAACTAGGGTTGGCGCTGATACCGCAGGAGAAAACTAATGGGCTCGCACGTTCCAGGCCCACTTTTGAATATTGCATGGGTCATGTACAAGCCCACGTTTGAATGTTATTTAAAAGCCTGCAAAAATCAATGATCAGACCCAGTCCAACTAGAATTAGTCCTAAACGCACCGTTAATACATAAACACAAACTAAGGAGACCTCTCCATCCGATTCGAATCAAATTATGTGTTCTCCATCTTCTTCCTCAATCCTCTGGGTGAGACGAACACTACATATCAGGAAACCTAAATTTCACCGAGAGATATAAGGCTCGAGAAAATCACAATAACGCTAAGACAAGATGACAAAGCACTAGGGACATGAACCCTAGGGTTAGCAAACCTCTTTCAAGGGTTCTTTTGCAAATGAAAAGTTCGATGAACACAATAATAGACATGGTCGCCGTAATCGTGTTAGAAAGAGATAGGCGAGGGGAAAGACAATGGCGAAGAAGAAACAAGACAAATTTTTTTTGGGAAATTCAATCTACGTCGAATGTGGATGGGGAGCTTCTCTTGGAACTGTGAAGGGGCGTCCCTCCAAGACGAGAGAGGGATCGTGTAATTGGTTAGGGAGACTGGAAATTGGTTTGGGCGGCAGTGGGTCTACCCAATTGGGTTTGGGTCTTAATCCATTTAATTTAATCGGGGCAGTTAGTTGGACTAGGATGAAAACAAACTTAACGCGGAGGAGGCTTTTTGTAATTTGTGTAGTTATTTAGTGGCGCAGTTAGGTTTAACAAACGTGAGCCGTGGAGATTGAAAACGAATGGTTAAGATCGGCCAAGGTACCCGTACCCGGATTTTGCCCTGGGCACCGTAGAAGTCACCTATATTTTGATATCCCAAATTTAATTAATTACAATTTAATTACTATAATGTATATTTTATATTTTGTTACCCGAAATTTAATTTTAATGTAAAATTAATAAACAATTATGTTTTGGGATTTAAATTTTATGAGATTTTCATACCTATATTTTTTAAAATGTACACATTGGTTCAATGTTGAGATTTCACTTGAATCCATGAATCCAATCCACCAATCCTTCTGAACCAATCCATGAACCCAATCCACCATAACATAAAAATATAAATTTAGTCTGTACCATACAAGATGTACGCATCTTGTAATGTAATATAATGCACCATACAGTCAACTTGCTTGTTTCTTACTGTATCATTTGCATACTTTAGACGTCGTTTGGTTTATGCTATGGATTTATTTAACGAATGTATGTATTGTATATAATGCTTCATTTTTTTGTTGCGAAATAAAATACAATGCATGCATTTGATTGTTGTTGTGATATTTGTAATCATTCAAAATGAATGATTTAGGGCTAATACCACTAGGAAACCCGAACTATGAAGAATGTGTCATATGTGTCCTAAAGTATCCAATATGGCATTTGTGTCATAACTTATTATAGTTGTGTGTCATTTACGTCCTGACAATTTCGTTGACCGTTATAAATAACGGTTGACCAAACGGTCAACCATAAAATGTTGATTGTTGGTTACATGGCACATATGTCGCAGCCACATCTACGCCACGTCAGCTGCCACATCAGATTATTATTTTTAAATTAAAATTAACAATTAAATAAAAAATAAAAAATACAAGCGAATCCCTTCTTCCTCATCTCAGATTCACCATCGCCACTCAAATGGTGAAACACGATGGACAGAGGGAAGATTCTGTTCCACCTCGCTACAAAGAAGGAATTAGGGGTGGGAGATCGATGCACCGACCCTCCCCAATCACGACCCTGCAATCTCGCTCCTCGCCCTTCTCGCCGTCGCGACCCGACCTTCTCCAGCCCAGCTGCTCGTCATCCCCTTGCGCTCCTTCCTCCGCCAGAGCAAGAACAACCTTGCTCCTCCCTCCGCCAATTCCAAATCGACTGCGCTGGTGGGAGACCCTTCGTCATCCTTTGTGAAAACTACAACATAATCAACAGGCCCTTCCCGGACTCGGAGACCCTCCGGACGGCGTTGGTGTTGAAGAGACAAGAGGAAGATGGAGCGGCGGCTCCCATCAGGCGATGAAGGCTGGGGAAGATGTATATGGCTGACGGAGGTCGGGAAACCTTCCAAATCGCCGACGAGGCGGTGGGAAGCTCGTACCCCTTCCAAATCTCCGACCCCTTCCAAATCGTCGTACCCCTTCCAAATCGTCCCTGCAGATCTAATTTCAACGCCGCCATTTCTTGGTTTCATTGGATCTGGGTTTTTGGGTTTCATTTGATCTGCAGCGACGACGAGGCTTCAACGGGAGCAGCGGTTTCAGGTTGCAGCGGTCGAGAAGTGGAATGGAAGTAGTGGGTTTCAGGTTGCGATGACTGAAAAGTGAAAGTAGTGGTTTACAGGTTGCGGCGGCGGAGGTTGGGAGAAGGGAGAGGTAAGGGTAGTTTTTATGTTTTTTTGTAATTTTTTCATTTTCTTTTCCTATATGGAAAATAATTATAAATTAATGGTATAAATTCCACTTCATATGTCAAATCAGCGCTGACTAGACTTTATGTTAAAAACTAACGGTCAACGCCGGTCAACTCTAACGGAAAAATAGTTTAGGACACAAATGTCATATTGGATACTTTACGACACAAATGACACATTGTTGATAGTTCGGGTTTTCTAGTGGTATTGGCCCAATGATTTATAATCTCAACTATTTGGTGAGATTGTTGAGATTGTGAATCAGCTTTTCTTCTTTTTTATGTCCTTATCAACTTTTATATGTGATTGACTTTTATATCTAAAATGAAGTAAATATGACTTTTCATTAAAAAAATAATTTTCTACTTTATTCATAAAATTAGAGTTACAACTATCAAACATTGTAATCTTAACCATTTCACTAATACATCAATTTACAATACATGTATTCATACAATACATCAATTTTAACCATTCCAAACAAGACAATTTAACTGTTTTATTGTAATCCTCTTTCTTCTATATGATGTTTTACGATGAAAGTACTATATACTGTATACCTGCCACCTTGTAACCATTCAGTTCATGAACTTTATTCCCATACAATATTTTCCAAGGTCATAAGTCATAACTTCACCCTGTTCAAGTCAAGAGCCTTTCTTTGTGCCACCACCAGTCGTCTTTTCCCCTTTATCTTCTAGTGTATGCAGGCCTTTTCAACTTTCTGTCTTCAATGGCAAAGACTCATTGTCAAACCTCTATTTACCCAATCCTTTCATATTCCTTTCACATGCAGCCGGCTACTTCCTTTTAAATTGATATATAAATTAAAACTATTCTTACGGTCAAAATAAACACAATAAAGGATCCAAAAATTCATCAGCCCCACCATCTCAAAATTACATACATGGACTAGTAGACAGTAGTTAAGAACAATCCATCGATTTCATGATAGTCAAATCGATGACATACCATTAGGTACAATTGGGTTCAATCAGTATCAATTACAAAATTGGTTGAAATGCTTCAGATTTTATTGACATGTCCGATTTCCGACCTCTAAATAAAATGACATCATTTTAGTGAATATAATTTAAAAATATCTTTATATTTGTTTCTTAAATTTAAAATTTAAAAGTTTATGTTAATTGTTGGATTTAAATATAAACGTTTGAATGTTGACGTCAAATGTTGCATTTTAAGTACGATGATTTTTCATTTTATTTGAAATATTGTATTTTATTAGAATATAAATGTAGAATTTAGAGAGATTGTTTTCAAATATGTTATATACGTATATGCTTAAATTCATTTAGTAGTGTTATTGATTTCCTACTTCGCTGCTACTTTTAAAATCGACACGAACTAGTATTAAACCAGTTATACTACCTATCGAACCATACCACTTGCCAAACCAACCGATGAATTTATAAGACCATATTAATTTAGCGTGGCTCTCTATGGAAAACATATCGCGTCAATAATATTATTTTTTTAACATTATATTACGACCCCGCTGCCTAGCTTCTGTCTCCACTTGACCGTGATGTTGCATTTGGCTCATACCCTATCGTCTCAATCGTCCGGCGAATAATTCCTCTTCACATAAAAACCCTCCACGTAAAACCAGTCAACCATTCGATCTCCATTTCTCCCCCTCCCTCATATATACGTGTACACAAATAAGAAGAAGAAAAAAGCTACACACCACAAAAATAACAAAATCCTCCATTTTGACCTTTACCTTCCCTGGCTTCAACCATTACTCCATACTTCCCATTAGTCTCCCCCTATGGCGCAGAACGAATCATGGCTCGAAATCTTCTCCGCCCACAACGACGTGAATCTCCATCCTCCTCATCCTCAGTCGACGTCCATGGGATTCGCCAACAAAACCGTATCCGATCACCACCACCGTCGTCAAGGTGATCGGTCGATGTCTTCCGCCACGTTCCAGCTCCTCAACCACCGAGTGGTCCACAGCTTCACCGCCGAACCATCCAACGATAGCTTCAACGTGATGGACGCCCGTGTCCCCACAAGCCTTTCCATAGACGAGACGATAAGACTGGCAGCATCGAGGATCGTCGGGTGCTCGGACTCGGACCGGGTCGGGATCCTGTCCTTGCTCAACGTCCCGTTCGACCCGTCCATCTCGGGTCTCTCGATCGAGGACCAGAAGAACGTCGAGCTCGCGGAGTACCTCCTGTCCTCCGCGGACCGCGTCAGCAGTCGCCAGTACGACGAGGCCATCTCCCTCGTCGACCTGTGTGACTGCCTGTCCTCCCCGAAGGGGAACGCGGTCCAGAGGGTGGTCCACTACTTTGCCAGAGGACTGCGAGAACGGGTCGAGAACGAGACGGGACGGAACTACAAGTCGCCGTCGTCAAAGAGGGACGACGGCGACGAGAAGTCGTATTTGGGCGACGTGCTGAGGCTGCCGTCGCCCTCCATCGTCCTCTCGGCCCAGGAGCGGTTTCCTTACTATCAGATGCAACAGCTGGCGGCCGTGCAGGCCATGCTGGAGTCGGCCGCCTCGGCCAGGAGGATCCACGGGATCGATCTCAAGATCAAGTCCGGGCTCCACTGGATCGCCTTCATGCAGGCGCTCGAATCTCGACCCGCGGATGCACCGCGGGTCGAGATTCTCAAAGTGACCGCTATGTGCACCGGAGCGGTCGAACCGGTTCGGGCCACGGGCGAGTGGCTGACCGGTTTCGCGAAGTCGAAGGGGTTGAATTTTTGTTTCAAGATTGTGAGGGTGGAGGATGTTTTGGATGTGAGGGGGGAGATGTTCGGGGTGGACCAAGGGAGGGAGGCGGTGATGGTGTACTCGGAGCACGCGTTCGTGGCGATGATCGGTCGGCCCGACCGGATGGAAACCCTGATGCGGGTCGTGAGGGGGTTGAACCCGCAGCTCATGGTCGTGACCGAGACGGAGGCGAACAACAACTCCCCGCAGTTCTCGGCGCGTTTCGTGGACACGCTGTTCCACTACGGCGCCGTTTTCGACAGCGTGGACGCGTGCATGGGCGCGGACGACGAGAGCCGGACGTTCATGGAGGGCGGGATAATGGGGAGGATGATCAGCAACATTGTGGCGCGTGAGGGGGAGGAGCGCGTGATACGGGGCGTGAAGCTGGACGTGTGGCGGGCTTTCTTTCGGCGGTTTGAGATGGTGGAGCGGAGGCTGGGGCCGGTGGCGTGGCAGCAGGCGAGGCTGGTGCATGAAACGGCGCCGAATGGGGAGTTCTGCACGGTGGAGAGGGATGGGAAGGCGATGGTGATTGGGTGGAAAGGCACGCCGTTGGTTTCGGTTTCCACGTGGAAGTTCTTCCGCTCGGCTAGGCTCGTGAACGGGAGCAAACACTTGCGGATCGAGTTCGAATAATCAGAGAGCATTAATTGCTATGGTAATACTCGTAATTAAGCGAGTCAATAGTATAGATTCAGGTCCTACACATCAAATGAATGTATGGCGAAAGAAAGCAAATGATCCCTGCTTCTCTAAAATAGGTGCACATTTTACTTTCTTTTATGAGTGATTCTAACATCCTGATAGCATTATATTCCACGTTACTACTTCGATTATTTTCTCAGCTACTAGACCACGAACATATACGGTAACTATGGTAGTAGAAGAATCAAAGTTCAACTCAACATTTATGTAACCTCTTCGCCACGCCATCTTCAATCTTTCTCATGCTCATTCGAGTTAATAGCTCTCCGAGCAAATCCCGATGTTGCATGTGAAGACTTCCTGCATCTTCTTAGCTGGTCATCAAGATTCAAGAGGTTCACCTAGTGCAACTTTATTTTTGACTATTTTTATTTATTAATGTTGACGTTGAATGTTGTGTTTGGAATTGAGTTAGTGGCCTTTTCTCTATGGAAAGATTAGATAGTCAGTAGTCACAGCTACACTCATAATTAATGAAGGAATGGTCAATTGTCATTGTTGTTTACAATATCTTTTCCCCTTGTTATGTATAATTTCAATGATTAAAATTGTGCAAGGTCTTTCTCAATTGACCATTGTCTACTTTGGCCGGTCAGGCGGTCACAACGTAGACATCATTGTAAGTATTTACTAGTTTGTTGGGTAGCCATTAGCAAAACATAATTTATTTGGATTGTTAAGAAGTTCCCAACCGCATTACTACAACCATGTGGCAAGAAACAACTCTTCAAATTTACATTTACGACTTATCTCTCGATTAAACGAAGGAGACGTGCATATAATATATTAATCTCATAATAATGTTGCATCATTGGTTGAATAAAACTATAGTCCACTTAGTTAATTGATAGTAAATATCAAATCAAGCAATGTTTGAAGGATAGCCACGTAATACACACAAAGTGGTCGACATCAGAAAGTATTTTTCTAGCTTCGTTGGTTATTCAAAAAGCCCCTCTACTATTTTTTACATCAAACATATACCCTTATACTTTGTAAAAATGATCAAACATGTCATTCTGTTAAAATTTGCATCCAAAAACCATCAATCATGGTCGAACCTTGATTTGGGAGACACCCATGACTAAAATATTTCTACTAATTTCACTTTAGAATTGTTTTGTTTCTTTTGTCTAGCCAAATAGCTCTAATAATTTCACTTTAACTAGACCTGGAGAAATAAATAAGAAAAACTGACATTTCACCCCCAATTTTTCCGACGTCGGGTCGTGTGAATCTCGGTTCAATTAATGAAAATTTTAACATAAGAGCATGTTTGATAATTTTTCCAAAGTATAGGGGCATGTTTGATGTAAAAAAATAATAGAGAGACATATTTGATAAAATTATATAGTAAAGGGGCATAATATACCTATAACCCTAAAAAAATAGTTTCAACACAAAACGTATAATGTGAAAGGAAAACTATAGAGTATACTATGGTTGTCAAATTGGTTTATTGTTGACCTGTTCAAACAATTACCAATTTTTACATTTAGATGAATTGATGACTAATAAATAATAATTACCAATGATGATATCGGGTATTATTTTTATCCCATAATTATCAATGTTTATTTATGTATTCCAACCTTAACTATATTTAAACATATTATTAAACAAAAGAAATGGTATATTTTGTGTCCATTAGCCTATATATTTATCAACATATACGAAGAAACAGTGTGGTTCAGGAAAATTTTATCTTGCATAAACAAAATATTCATTATAAGTTGGACTTAACTTAAATAAAATTCTAGTCAGGGAGTAGTTGTACTATACTATAAAATATTGGCTTTTAGAGGTACAAGTTGAACTTGTATCATAACATTAGAAGTATAAGTTCAGTTTGTATCATAAAAAAATTTGTACATTTATGTTATGGTACATGTTCAATTTGTACCATAATATAAATATACAAAATTCATATTGTAACACAAAAAAATTTGTACAAAAAGTTATATTTATAAACTGAAATTGTATCATAATGTTAAATGTACAAGTTTAGTTTGTACTACAAAGAAATTTGTAAAAAAAGTATATATACAAACTGAATTTATATCATATATACAAATATCTCTAATACTTTTTTCCGAAGGAAAAAACGGAAGCTCCATTTCAAATTTCCTGCAACGAGAGTGAAAGTAGGAATGACATTTTGGTCTTCACAATTATTTTTTTCTTATTAATTAAAAATATATGTACTGGGATTCGAACCATGATCATTTTAAAGAAAGGCAAGGATCATAACCAATCACACTAAGTAGATTTGTTGTATCCTTTTAAATTAAAAACATATAATAGCAGGGTGGAAAAAACTCTTCCCCCATTTCAAATTCCCTGCTCCATGGGCGTTTGTAGGAAGGGTAGAATAGGGAGTGTCAATTTTTTTCTCTTTCTCTGTGGAACGGGCCAACTTACCGTACAGATGCGGATTTAAACGGGTCCAAGAGTGTCAATTTTTTTCTTTATACCCTTTTATTTCTCCGTGGTGATAAAATATATATATGAAAAGGCAAAAATAATACTCCTTTTTATTGTTAAAAATAACAAATTTAACAATAAACTAATGCATGGTATCTAATGGGCTGACCTACATGGGATTTGTCCATCAAGTAAAACAAATGAATATCATTGGTTTGCCATTCTAAAACAAGCTATTTTCTTTGACATAATATATATTATGCTATTATTTTCTATCTTAGTTGCTAAAATATAATGTATTTTAAAGTTATTCAATGGCTCAACCTCGACCAACCCAATTAGTCCAATTTTTATCATTTCAAATATATATTTTATAATTATTTGACATCATAATGATCAAATTATAGTGTATTTTATAGGAAATCGTTTGGTATTTGTTAGTAAAAAACTAAACATAAAGATCTATTTGGTTATTTTAAACATTAAAACGATCCTAAACATTTTCAGTTCCTTTTGAATTTCTATGGTTTTATTCCCGAATAAGTGATGTGCAAATGGCGAATTGTAGTTGTCTCTTTTCTTTCACTATTTTTTATTTTCAAATAGAAAGTTTAAAAGTAAAGAATAATTAGAATTTGGCATGGGTCGGTCAAACATGCTGAATTTCAAGTTTTGGCCCGTTTGTTTTATGCATTGCAAATTTATTAGCATGTTGATGGAAATGGCTTGGAAAAAAGACATATAAGTTGTACCTTTGCAGAAATGTCCTCAAATGTTTGAATGCTTTGTGAATCAGGTTCCGTGACTTTTGTGATGGTGTATGTGCTTGACTATTGCTCGATGTTGTAACTACTTAATTTGAGAGTAAATCTTTTGATTTTTCCTATGAGTTGTGATACCAGTTCTGGTGGTTGCAGCATGTTTTCGTTGTTGGCCTGTAAAAGTTGTTCCGCCGTGATGCTAAATACCTTTCTTTCTTTTTTAACAAATTGTGTAGTAGTGCTATGAAACAGACCACCCATGAACGCTACGCTTATTATGGTCTGTTCTTACTTCCGGTGGTGAGAAATTGTGAATTGAGAATCATATTCGCCTACCGCACTGTGTCTGGCTGGTGGCTGCTTACTGTGCTCTCTAGAGTTATGAAACAGACTACCCATGAACGTTACCCTTAAGAGTCCATAACTTTGCGAAAAACAAAATTTAGGCAATCAAAGGTGGTGGATGTGTGATGATTTTTATGGCTTAATTGTTTGTGAATTGGATATCTGATCTTTGTATGATTAGAGGGGATGTTTGCTTAATAGAATAATCCATTTTAATTCATGTTTATTTTTAACATGAACCTTAGTATCTCAAAACCTTCGAGACACATATCACCTACTGCATTGTATCATTTTGCTTGGGTGCTTGCTGTGTTGTCAAACTTCTTTGCTGCTGCTGCTGCATTTACACTAACAGGGGAGTTAAGAACCCATGAATGTTTCCGTTTGACACAAACAAGAGGACTTACTTCTAAATCGTGCACTAAAGATGATTGGAGGAAACATCTCTATTGCAGTTGATATACTGGAGACCATAACAAAAGCAACGTATAACATCAAAACCAACCATTTGAACTATTAGCATTGTTGCTTTACGCTTTTTTCGTGGTTGAGTCTCCTTCAAAAAATTTAGTTTGATTTTAGAAAATTTTGCTTCTCCAGTCCTGTCTTGCCACCAACGCGTTCAGTAGATGGAGATGGCAGAGGCGAAGGCTATTTTTGTGTTGTTGTTGCTGGTTTAGGGATCGGTTTGTGAAGAAGAGGGAGAAGAGAGGGGGGAAGGGAAATGCAGGAGAGGGGGATAACTCTTTTCTCCGACAAAAATGGAGTGAAGAAAGGAATTATGATCAGTAAGGATATGGTTATCTTACATAACAGTCTCTATTCTGTTTGAATTGAGCTTGGGAGGCAGTGATAAGGACGAGCTGCAACCAATTCATAGTGATAATAGTGCTATGAACTGTGATCATGTCTTATTTCAAGTTAGAAGGTAGTTTCAGTATAAGGATTATTTAATTTGACAAGTTGTTTTGTCCATGATTCTTGGTAGTTTCAGTGCCATTCTAGCCATTGTTTAGTCTATAATTTTTGAGAATTGATGTGCGAGTAATGACTTTCACTTAGCTTCAACTATTATGTGTGTATTTATTGGCATGTGATAGAATTCTCTTTTCCTTTTCTTTGAATTCAGTTTCATACTCTAATTGTATCATTTGTACATAGGCAAATCATGCTCGAGATGACAACTCGCTGATATGGCTGGTGCAAGGAATGAAGCCATCATTGAATTCAGACCGACAACGGGGAGGGATGCCCAAGACTAATTCAATGATGATTGATGATAGTATAATAAAAACTGCAGTCTGCATCAACACCAATTTCTAGGCCTAAGTAAAGTTATTGAACCCAGAACTCTGCTTAGCGCTAAAAATTGCCCTCACCCAACCTTGATCCTGTTTGACC